ATTTTGTTCAAGTTCAATGATTCCAGAAGATATAGAAGAACAGTTGGATCCATTGCTGGTTCGTGCATTGTGACTGCTACACCTCTCCTAGCTTCACAGAATCAAGCAACATGCTTGGTGGCCTTAGATATTGTTGAGGTACGTCTCTAATCGCTGAAGTTGATCCATATCCTGACCCTGTAATATTACTTATTGTAAAGCTAATGGTTGTTTCTCCAATCTCAAGTGTTTGACTGAGCACTTCATTCTCAGCTACCCGAAATGATGGAAAAAAACTCTTCAGAATTTTTATACGACCTATTTTGATCTAACTGGAAATGTAGGAGTTATTTAGCTTGTGCGCATTGTATACCTTCCAGCTTTTCTGTTTATAGATGTTGAAATTTGGAGGGCATCTAATTACAGTCTGGGTGCTCTGGGGGGGGGGGGCGGGGAACTGAGTCTCCTGCATTTTCCAAAGACTGTCTAGATTCGAGCTAAGAACTGCATCTCCTTGTTTGTGAGTGGATCTTTTCGTGGCCATTTTCTGTCTGAGAATGTCACCAAAAAGTATTTCATGTCCTTGATGCGAATTGCACTCTATCATATTTTGCATCATAATCATCATTATGAATGGAGGCATGTCAATAGAAATTGTGGCTTTTCTGTCTTTCTCAAGGTCTCTCTCTCACGTCACTTTGATGCAGTAAAGATTCCTCTTCACCCCCATCCCTTTTTGGTGAAGAATGCCATGAAATCTTGCTAGATCGAATTTTGTTTTGCTTAAATTTGATTCTAATGCTATAAATCATAAATTCTTTGCATAGTATGGCGCCGTGGCATTGGCAAAAGTGGAAGAAGCCTATAAGCATGAGAAGGATACCAAGGAAACAATTGAGGAAACTTTGCGCTCAAAGTCCTTTTATCGACTTCTGGATACTTTGGATGTTTCTGATGAGGGGTCTGATGAGAATAGGTTGCTTCCGGCAATGAATAAAATATGGCCCTTTCTGGTTGCTTGCATTCAGAACAAAAATCCAGTGGTAAGTTATCACCTGTCCATATGTTTCTTCCCCTTCAAAACCAAAGTCTTTGATCTAGTTTTCACTTGAGCAATTGTTGTATCTCTTGATTCATCCACCTCTGGACGTTGACTTTTAGGATTTTAGTTCGAAAACCTACAGGAAAAGAAACAAAATGGTTGTCTTTTACTTCGACCTACCTCTGACCTACATAAACTTATACACCCAACAAATACTTCTAGTTGATTTTAGATTTATGCTGCTGGCTTGCTGCCTCTTTTTTCCTAATTAATATTTATTGATTTTGAGATAGTAATCCATACAACTTACAGGCTGCTCGAAGATGTCTAAATGTGATAAGCAGTTCTGTACAAATTTGTGGTGGAGATTTCTTCACACGACGTTTCCATACAGATGGGTTTCATTTTTGGAAGCTTCTGACGACGTCTCCATTTCTGAGGAAACAAAACGTGAGAGATGAGAAGGCAGTGCTACAACTTCCCTATAGAAACGCATCTATATCATCAGAGGATTCGGTTGCTGAAGGTTCCAATTTGAAAGTTCAGGTCGCACTGCTCAATATGATTGCTGATCTATCTAGAAACAGAAGAAGTGCATCGGCATTGGAAGTAGTTCTCAAGAAGGTTAGTGGCTTAGTGGCAGGTGTAGCCTTTAGTGGTGTTATGGGGCTTAGGGAAGCATCATTGAATGCGCTTGGAGGACTTGCATCTATTGATCCCGATCTTATTTGGCTTCTGGTCGCTGATGTATACTACTCTATGAAGAAGAAGGATGTGCCTTCACCACCCACATCAGATTTTTCCGAGGTATCTCGACTTCTTCCACCGCCTTTATCTCCAAAAGGGTATCTTTATGTGCTTTATGGGGGTCAAAGTTATGGATTTGACATTGAAGTTTCGTCTGTGGAAATTGTATTTAAGAAATTGCAATCCAACATTTCTACGTGTTAATAGGATTCCCAAGTATTTATAATGCAGGGCTATATATGCTTATTTTTCCTTTTCATGTTAATATGAGTCCTATATGTTTATGCATGTGGTAGGACATCTTTTACACCTATATATGATGCTCCATTCCCTATGCATAAAACAGTATCATTGTGTTATAAAACACCCCGATTGGCAACACAAACACATAAAATAGATACAGAAAAATATAATATTAAGGAATTGGTTTGTTGAAGTTGAACCTCTATATTGATTTTGTTTCTTTCTGTATCTGTCTACGACTGATGATTTCCTGTAGTTATAACTCACTTCTTGGTGGTAGGTTTTGCTTGTGAGACAATTAATGATGTGCTTCTTCTTTTAATCGTTGCACGTTCAAAGAGTTGTCCGGAAATCCTTAAATCTGGTGTTTAGTTAGTCTAATAATCATTATAAGGAATGCAGGGAAAGACATCCTATTAAGATAAGGAAATCAGCCAAGACCTAGAACAAAAGGTATCAAGACTTCTTACCATCCAAATGTTTGGTAGATCTAAAAATTTTAATGACCAACTGTGAGGAACCAAGTATGCAAACAAATTCAATGCTTGTTCTATATATAATTCTGATGATTCGACTGAGATTTTACGGGTTCTTCGTTTTTCTTACATGGAATCTGTTAAACTCAATGTATGTCCAAAACTCAATATATATATAGGCGCCATATGTTAGGCAGGAAGAACATGGTTATTATTGGTTCCGTAGGTGAGAAATTTGTATTATATACATTCCTGATATTAACATCAACCGACTTCTATACGAGTTGTAAAAGATATCCAGCTTTGTTCAAGAATCAGAACAGAGCAATGATACTAAGAACGTCTCAAACAAAATATGCTCTTGTAGATTAGAACCCGCACCTTTCACGGATTTCACCTTCAGAACCAGTTAGAACATCAAGAACCGATAGCTTCACCATAGCCCTTGCAAAGTCCATGCGAAAGGTAGAGCCGTCATCAGAAGCATACCCCTTTACCAGTCTCCCAGTGTTCTCATCGGCCATTAGTTGCTGATCAGCATACAACAGTCCTCTTCCACTCAACAAGCTCTTGTAGTAATGAGTGTCGAAGCCTCCCTCCAGCGACAGCGAAGGCGACAGTTCTTGAAAGTAGGACATGCCCAAGGTAGACCTCCTCAACGTCTCTACTGATGCCTCTGGGGTTGGGGATGATGCTGGAGACACTTGATCATGACTGACATGGGTGTTGTTGTGCTCCTTCTCTTGGCATTTGAATCTCATCAGGTTCAGGAACTCGGGGTCAATTGATGGATCTGGTAGGCTGGTTCCGGAGAAGTTATAAAGACGATTCAGAATGAACTGACACCCAATCTTCCCAATGTTGTGCGCTCCTTCATAGCCAGACCACACAAAGCGAAAAGGTAATCACTGAGTTAATTGTGAGGAGAATGAGTTTGAGGGCAGAAGTAATTTTATCCTACCTAAAAGACTGACCATATCTCTTTCGTCAAGTCCTCTTGCTGCAAATAGATAAAGAGTGCGATTGATGTTGTCGTCGGGTCGTGGCAATTCCGCCATTGCTTCTTCAAAGTATGCCCTTGTGCTGTCTCGTCTGCCAGTGAAAACTGGATAGAAGGGGCCACCAGCCTAAGCCCCAATTCACATTAGTCGAATCGAAACACAATAACTGAGAATTGAACTGCAATTCTATCCCTAATTCTAGCAAACGGTCGACTTAAGGAAGACTAGAGGAAGTCATCTCATCAGTGCCTCAAAAATTCCAAATTCAGTCAGTACTGAAGGCTTGAAAGAAATACAAGAAATGAAAAAAAAAAGGTGAAGACGCAATGATTTGTGTATTTACCAGAACGACGGCATCTCTAGTAGCAAGGGAGAGGATATCAGCACAAGAAACCACGCGTGGGCAAACCCTCTCAAGCTCCTCCTTTATTTGATCTATCTCAACGAAACCCTTCAAGGTCAAATTCGGAATAGCCTGCTTCTCACTCGAATAGGTATCGTCACCTGTGGTGGGATCCAATAGGATGGAAGCATCGCAGCCCTAATTGAAGGAACACATCACGGAAAAGGAAACGGACATGGGGAAGAAAACAAAGAAGAAGGTAAAAAGAAGGGGAGAACATCAAGAACGGAATCAAGAAAGGGAGATACACACCTGAATGAAGCAGTCGTGAAAGAAGAGTCTGAGGAGAGAAGCGGAGACATCTTGGCGGCGTGAGTGAATCAAAGCCATGGAAGAGCTTACAATCTTCTCGGCGTGGGGGCAAGATTGTCGGTAGAAGTCGTATTGGAGAGTTGAAAGGAAAGAGAAGAGGTGCAGAGTTTCAGAGAAATCGAAAGGAGAAGAGAAGGAAGGAGGGTTGGAGGAAGAGAAAGCGATGTCGGAGACGCCTCTTGGATTGCAGAGAGAAACGAGGACAGTGATGAAGACGACTGCAAGGACCCAACCATTCAACATTTTTGGTTAAGAGAGAGAGATTTGTTGGAGTTGGAGTTGCAGACTGAAATCATCTCAACACCTTCACTCTGTAGAGTATATGAACATTACCGAAAGTTCGTTAAACCAACGAATGGAGGGAAACTCGCGCCACAACGCTTAATACTCTTCTCTTCTTCCACACCACCCTTCACGATTTAAAATAATAACCATATTTAAAAAAAAAAAAAAAAAATCATTTAATACATTTAAATTTAAATTCTATGTTAATTTTAAGTTTAGTTATCAAATTTGTAATTTTGAAAATTCAAATTCTTCCCCTTTCCATTAAAGAAAATTACCAAGTTATTTGATAATTTTGAAAATCACCTCATTTTAAAGAAAGAATATCATGAACAACCATAGAAAATAAATATAAAATTAGAATAATAGAACTTTTTTTTTTTTGCTAAATTACAAAAAAATATCTATTTTTTGGAATTTGATCGAGATTTTTGTATTAAAAAAAATAATTTAGTGTGCCAATTAATCCATAAATAAAAAGGTTTTTAAGAAGCCCTTCTTTTATAACCGGAATGTCGCTTTAATCAACCGATTCACAATCTTTGTCAATTTTGCCATGGGCGGAAGCGAAAGAAAATCCAAGGAGAAGAGGAAGAACAGAAGAGCGGCTTCGTCTTCTGAAGGTACAGATTTCCGTTACTTTTTTGTCTATGAAAATTTCACTTCCCCTCCTTTAATCTGATTTTACACTCGAAATTCTTCCGAAATGAAAAACAGTACCCTTAGAGGAGTTTACATTTCTTCTTTTCTTGGAGTGTATTCTCCTATAATCTACGGTGGATTGCTCTGTGTGTTGTTTTAATGCTATTGTTCGTATAAGTTCAGACGAGAAGAGGAGCAAGAGACCAAGAGCTGCAGAAGATGAGGAAAGGGAAAGCAGAAGGAGAGATAAGAGAGAGAAGCGGAAGGAGAAGAAATCTCACAAGCACTCTAAGCGCGATTCAGGTAAACTCGAATACGCAATTTGCAGAAATATGCATGTTACGGTTCGTGTTTGATGTTTTTATGTTTTAACAGATAGGTAGTCGAGTGGTTGTTTTCTTCTTCGTTGGTTATTTTATCTCAATTTGAATAATGATGTCGTACAAATTGCTTCAATTCGCTGTTTAGGTTTTTGGTATTAAACTGATGTCAATTCTATGGCCAACTAATATAGAAATCAAAACCCTTTTTTTTATATATACTCTTCAATTTCATTCTCTCTGCTAGTTTTTCTGTCCATTTCTCATAATTCATGCTGGGAACTTGTGGTTTCAAGAAAGAAGATTATCCTGCAAGAATTTGAACACACGAGTTTTTACTTTTCCAGTTTTTCTCCAGCGGCCTCATTGCAGATGCAGATGTAAAATTTGGCTTATTTTACTTGTGAACGGAATTATGAAGAAGTACTTTATAAATAGGTTTCCAAAGTAAAGTTTTGTCATGCCCTGCCTTTTTCTTTCAGAGAAGAAGTCGAAGGATATTCTCAAAGGCAAGCATCACAGGGACGATCACCCTTTAGTGAGTTCTTCTGTAGTGATAAAGCATGCATTTTAGTTTATGTTTTATTCACTCTACTTTTACATTTAGTTACTAGATTGTACTACCGCATGTTATCTTTTTTATGCTATTGAGCATCCCTGCATATTTCCTTTGTTTATGATTCGGTTGAAAACAGACTCTTATAGTTAAGAATGAACTCCCTTCAGCACCTCTGAAATAAAAATCTTGGATTCATCTGATAAAGTAAGAAGATCACCGGACCGACCACGGGCATCCATTTCCTACCAGCCTCCATTTATTATTCTTAGATGGGATTGTACTTTATTATTCTGAGAGGGAATTGGGTAGTACAGAAGTAGGAAATTGATTGTAATGCTCTATATGTTTAGTTTGTGTTCATCATGTATGGGTTGTTTTCCCCTACTTCACTGCTTTTCAATCATTACTATTATTTCTTGAGGTATTCAACTGCAGTAGATCTAGTATTTGAATATCCTACTATGGGATCATCTCAATTTGGTTCAGTTATGTAGAGGGCTAGAAATTACTAATGAAGTTGCACAAGGGGAATGTGTTTGCAATTTAAAATTCACCTTCTCATAACCTGGGCTTTCCTATTCGTTGTTATTTTTTTTTTTTTGTGCTCTTTCACTGGAAAGAACCGATGTTAACATCAAATTGTTTGGTGCAATGCCACTGTATCAGGCTACTTGAAAGTAGAAATTAATATTTAAGAGAGTTGCTATCACCACTCTGAAGTATGTTAACCATGTAGCCCATTCCTTACTCTTGTATGGATGTACATTTATGTTATGCAGTGTTAGAAAAGTGAATTATTTGGCAGGGGTTGTTACTCTGAAGAATTAAATCAACCAAATCTTTTGCATGTTACAGCCCATCTTATTTCTTGTGTGGGGGAGGGGTTGTGTGGCGGCACTGGAGCAGCATTATCCACTGAAATTAATCTACGGTTTCTTGATTGAACCAATAGGAGAAACATCTTGGCTTCATCCATATTTGTTAGTTGTTTTGTCGCTTCTACTAAACTTCCTGCTTCTATAAATTTCTTTCCTGCCTCCTGCCTCATCAGATTGTTGTGAACCTTGTGATAAACTACATGAATTCAGCCATTATACTGGCATGATGTTTTATTAGGAAGTTTGAAACATTCTAGGCCTATCAGTTATTGCAAAAATTCAACTTTGCATCAGTGTTTCCCACTTCAGGCTTGATTGTTTAGTTACTTCTACAGAACTCCTTGCAAGATCTGTTCAGAGGAAGATTTGTGTGACTGTATATAATATACATTTACATATACTTTCTTTTCAAGGAATTAAATGCAATGCCCTCGTTTGTCTTAGTTTTTTTTTGGAGAGCATTCTATGTCTACTTCTTATTGCTGGGCTGTCATGTGACCCTTCTGGTTCTCTGGCCTTAACACCACTTTTGTTGATATGTTGATTTAGAGAGCCAAAATTGAAGAACTGTCCGAGGAAGACTATTTTTTGAAGAACAATGAGTTTGCTACTTGGTTGAAAGATGAGAAAAATGTGTATTTCTCTGATCTGTCATCCGAGTCTGCTCGCAAACTTTTCTCAGATTTTGTTGAGCTGTGGAATGATCGGAGGCTTGAATCTCGATATTATGAGGGTATTTCAAGCGGGCCTCGAACATCCCATAACTGGAAAATCAAGGGGTGATAACTTAGGATGTGTGGAATGAACGAACAAAGGAACGGATGAACAAAAGTTGTCTGAATTGTTGGATTGTGGTTTTCCTACTAGTAGGTTCCAGGCAGCTGAGTGAATCTACTTACCAACACCGAACGTAGAAGAGAGTTCCATGCTGTTCTCTGTAGAAGTGTAATCTTACTCTTGCTTTTGATATGGAATGGAAAACTTTTCTTACTTGAATGTTGTTTTATAGATTAATATCACTTCGGAAGTAGTATTCTTTTTATAGCTGAAGATTGTGCCCTTCGGATCCTTTTGGAAATTACCTGTGACCTATGCTTTGATTTACATTTTGCATTTATACTTTGGTAGTTGATTTTTGAAAAAGTAATAGTTGTAGGAGACAAGGCTGTACTAAATCATTAATATTGGGGAATCAGATCTGCAAAAGGCAGCAATTGATCAAACTTGAGCAGCAGAGTGTTAACATGTTTGGATAGATATTCAGGGTTTGTTTGGAAATTGGTGGACTTGAGACGAGTGCTTGCAGATCTGATTTGAAAAACTGAAGCAGCTAATAATATGTTCTTGTTTGAATGGAAGTTTTACAAGTTTTATATGCATGAAACGGACATCTGATATTCTGTGTTGCTCTTTTAATATTTTTGGCATTAATAATTAATTTTAGAGATTAGTATATTTAATTAACCATTTAGTAGTCTAAACTCACGTGTTCATTATATTACCCACTAATAAGTAGTAAACAAAACCAAAACCATGAGAGCCAGCTTATGCTAAAAGACCACGGGAGCATATATTGTGTTAATCCGTAAATTTTGGAGGAGGAAAGTGCATGGTCTGCAGTTTGCTACGTCATTAACCCAACCTTTTTAAATAATGGAAGATTTAAATAAAGTTCTAAAATTGGATTATTTGCCAACCTGTGGGACTCCGCCGTGAAACTGAGGGAGGGAGATTACAAGAACTTACATCTCTGCTCTCACGCTCACTGAGCACCTTCCTTGTTTGACAGCAACCGAGATGGCATCCCCCTTCCGTTCCGACATATTGAAAGGGAAGGTGGCTTTGATTACTGGCGGCGGCTCTGGAATCGGCTACGAGATCGCCGCCCAATTTGGTCAACATGGAGCTTCCATTGCCATCATGGGTCGAAGGAAGCAAGTCCTCGATTCCGCCGTCTCCGCTCTTCGATCTCTTGGAATTTCAGTATTTCTCTTTCACTCTTACTTCTTGCCTTTTTCATCATGCTTTTCTCCCTCTGCTTACTTGTTGGATGCGCTTTAACTTCTCGGTGATCTTACGCGTCTGTCCTCCCTCTCCTTACATTTCCAATTCTCGTATTTGATAATCAAGGTGAATGTGAAAGCTTATTTGTAAACATTTGCATCTACGGTTTCTTTTTATTGTTTCGGAGTTATTAATGTTCTTATAAAGATGGGGCTTAGCTGGAGTCGTGAAAAAGGTTTTCTTCTAAGATTCTTTGCTTTGTCACGGCATGTACAATTATAAACTTATCAAAGCTAAAGCAGCCTATGGCCATCGTACATTCCGCTGTTAATTTAGATTGTAGTACACTGTACGATTAAAAATGAGATTACTTAAGTTTTTTTTTAAGATAAACTGAAATGACAGTGCTCTAATTAACAAAGTTTTGCAGGGGTTTTTTTGGTTACATAATTTGATTTTCTGGACCTTCCTTTTTCTTTAAAAACATCTATCAATGACTTTAGATATTGCTAAAGTAGAGGCTAGAAGTAATCAGGATGATGCTATTACATAAATTTGCATCTAATCAATTTAAGAGATAATAGGAAGACGAACTTGAGGAATTCGAGATATGTATAATTATTGTTTCTAAAAGACTTCGATTGAGTCATGTGCTCTGAACTGTGTGCTTTTACAGATGACTCTGAAAAATACAACTAACGAACATGAAATTTATGAGTTTCCAAAAGCATATAAAATGCTGCATATGGAAAATATCAAAAGCAGTTGCATAGGTTTGTAATGTGTATACCACACGGATGTGTAGCTGGACTCACTAATATGTATAATCACCCATGTATTCCTCTGAGAACTGAACTTGATTCTGAAACCTGTTGTTTGTATACTGGCCATTGCAGGCATTTGGATTTGAAGGTGATGTTCGTAAACAAGAAGACGCAAGTAGAGTAGTGGAGTCTACTGTCAACAATCTTGGTAGTCTGGACATTCTTGTGAATGCAGCAGCTGGGAACTTTCTGGTATCAGCCGAAGATTTGTCTCCCAATGGATTTCGAACAGGTTCTTTTCGCATGCAATACCTACTGTCAATAATCTTGGTAGCCTGGCTTTTACTTGATATTAGTCCATAGGGATCAACGATCATGCAAAAAAGATTTGTCCGTTGGAAGTATTTTGTAGTTTGTAGTTTTGGGTGCTCCAGAGATGTTATTTATCTTCATTTAATTGATCTTGGAATTACACTAATTTGAACGCATATCCACTCTGGAAATTTATGAAAATTGAATTCCATTGGTCATAACTCATATATTTCTTATTCAACTCAAAGGAGTACGTGAAAATTTTCTCTGGCATGTTAGGTTGTTTGGTTGTATGTTGCGATATTATGGTTTCAGGGGAACTGTAGTCTAATCTGTCAAACTTTCTTTTTTTTTTTTTTTTTTTTTTTTTTTTTTTTTT